TCATTTCTCAACCATTTTGGTGACACGATGGTTTCGTGCTCAGACATGAAATTCAAAATGTGACTTCACGGGATGATTGAGCACTACGAGGAATAAATCTGGTCAAATTTTCAACGACATTGATTGATCGGTGTAAAACTTAGACTCTGAAGAGGCACTTATGAGAAAAATGCCTTAAAATGATATTCTTTCAATTTGAACGCTGAATAAATGTGTAGTGGGGGGTTTTTTGGCACGAGAAACCCGAATCTGATGTTAGTTTTAAGATGCAATCAATATATAATTTTCATACAAAAATCCACAAAAAGTTTCATTTTTGTACGAAAGACTTGCCACTTACTGCAACCATACAAAGACCATGATTTCAGTTCATTCCCAAAATTTCGGTTCCATGCGGAAAAGTCAGCTTGCGTACGTAAGCCTCTTTATTTCAACTGATTCATGGCACAAATTGTGACGGCTAGCTCGATAATTCAAAACGTTACGTAATTGAACGCGTTGATGAACAATATTTGAAATGATGGAAAACTAAAAGATCTCGTGTGGAAAAAAGGTGACTAAGTCACTATTGACTATCACTTTTTTTTGCGCACGGGATAGTAGTACGATTGATAACTGCAAAAAGTAATTCACCTGGAAACGGTATCTCTGTTATTAGTTTTGAACTTGAACTTAGTGTAACCACCACTGGTGACATGGACCACTTCAAACATTGGACATGAAAAAAAAGGGGAAAGGACGATGAGAAGCAAAAACACGCTAGCCAAAAACGCCCAAGATATAAATAAATAAATAGTATAAACGCTCTATTATATTTAAATAATAAATTATTACAAATTTTCTCAAAAATAGTAACTTTCACATTGATATTCACCGTTCAAGAAGAGATATTGTTCGGTCACCTACATAACGTAAGCCTGAAAATAAGCCAAAATGCTTAATATATTTTTTTAAATAAAATCAGAAAATTTCGTCAATCTCCAACCATGAAACGTTGAGTTCAGTAGATACTCATTGAAGTTGTCTCGATAAGATATTTTGAGTTGTTTGTCAGTATTTTTCTCAAACTTTTGTAATTTTTCGTCTATGTTGTTCTTTTGATTATTTGAAACACTGATTTCCATTTCCGGAGAAAAAACCATCTTACATGAATGAGCGTTCCACTAAAATTCTACGCTACTGACCATAACTTACACAGCTTTTATACCAGAAAAATCCAAAACAAACAAAATTAATATTAATTACTAGTAATTGGTGGAACATGTCCCCTAACAAAGTAGTTTCCAAATTAACGAAATAAACGCAAAGTAATGCGCATTTAAAAATGTTCTTTGTTAAAACATACTGTTTTTTTTAATGTTGCAAGGTCAATTCAAAATTACTAATCAAAAGTAAATTTCATTTCACTACCATTAAGACAACGTGTAGTTTGTTGTGGTTTGCAATATTTATTTGTGAATTCAAACGTTGCCAAACAAACAAAGTAACTCGTGGAGTGGAGCTAATGAATATGTGTTCCCTTACATTGACATAATTATATTGAATGATCAATCCAAGTAACGTTGATGATAATTGTCATGTAGACCAAAGTTCGTTTGAACCGTTCTCACCATTACTGGGGTGGTTTTCTTCTGGCGCAATTTCTCCACTTGCCGAATGATTTTTGCCATTAAATCACGGCGTTGCATCGAAAATCGTAAATATTGCATGTACGGTCAAATGGAAATGAAATAGAAAATTTCAAAAACTGAAATGACACTGAATCCCATGAAGAGGCCCAACAATCCGCCCATATTTGCTTCTCGAAAGAATTGAAAATTTAATTAAATTACGTATTTCGTAATTAATGATGTTAATTAAGGCCACTTACATAAGAAATCCGTGAATCCGACGTACTCTTCCAGGCGTTGGCTTCGAAAAGAAGATCGAGGGTAATAAATGTGAACAATTGCAGTATTTTTTGGATCAAGATGTTTCTTTCGTAGGTACGGTTCTCCGTCGAATATTTTTGCAGTTGAATATGTTGAGCCATAGATAATCGCGGAGCATCCATTTTTGCAGTAACTGCAATCAAATGAAGTATTTTCCCTTGCTTCGATTGCTTGATCAACATTTTTTATGCATCCCATATCGGCCGATCCGCAAATTGAAATGTTTGGATTAGCACGTGGTTGATAGTACCTATTATATTAAAAAGGGCAAAGAAACGAATGAATGATTTGGCCAGAAAATCAGACAAATCAGATGATAGTACATACATAACACATTTGCAATGTTTGAGCAGTAATTTTGTTTCGCATTCACTTTCACAATTCTAATGATACGTGGAGATTGAAATATTAAAATTATATTAATATAATTGTATACAATTATAAAATATTCAATATAGATTACCCTGTCTGAATAGGTCCTGAAATTGAACAATTTGAATGAGTGAAGAATGGTTAATTGGTAATTAGTCGAATATTTCTATTTTCATTTTACCGATAGTATTCCAGTTCACTTTCGTCTTCAAAAATGCACTGTCTAATCGGAATCGGCGTTTTACGAATCGAATGACTTGCTTCAGAGATTGTGAGCATTATTGCAATTCTCGATTCGTAATTAGTTGGTACGGCAATTCCATACTGAGCTACCTTTGGAAGTTCATTTGGTGAGTGTAAAAGCACTTTGAATCCATAACTTTTCGTTGACGCACAAAAATAATCGTCTAATTGTGTTTTCAGGATTAATGAGAGTCCCAATTCATTTCCCGACCCAACACCAGGAAGCGGATAACGCTTTTCATCTCTTTCAAATTTTGAATAGCCCGCTTCCATATTCCATTGTGTCCAATGATCATCTTCGTCATAAAACGTGTCATTGTCACCGAATTCTTTGAAATCACTTGAAAAAGTATGAAAGAAGACATTATTTTGATGGTTCAATTCATTCTAGAAAAAAAATCATCTGACCTTATTTTCATGAAATATTTTCTGCGAACCTAGAAATTGTAAAGAATTAAGGAAACATTAATTGTGTTGGTGCATTGTAAAATGATTTCTTTTAAATTTAGTATTTTAAACTTTCTCCGTTGAATACACAGCATAGACCATCGTCCGTAAGTATATGTGACCATTTTTCAGCACAGTTAAATTCGAGGCCGCCATATTCGCAATAGCTAAATATGTCAATGCAATTGGGTGACACCTACTATGCAAAATCATTTCAATTTTAATGAATTAAAACCGGTTGCAGTGATTTTTTTAAATTTCCTTTACCTGTTTAATCATTTCTCGAAAGAGATCCCATGATCCTGTTTCATTCGGACCATTTTCATCATGGTATTCGTCCAGTCGGCATATGCTCTTAATCACCGAATATTCTCTGCTATTGTTTGAATAACTTTCCGCGACACTCTTTTTTACTTGATTCATACTGCATACTGTAACTGCGAGTCCGCATAAAAACAATACAACAATAAACATCTGTTGTGATTTTACTTCAAACTTTAAACCTGCTGGAAATGGCACCTTATATACAAAAAATAATAATAACAAATTAGATTTTATGGATTTCATGTATACCTCCTTTATCGACGTTGTAGTTGAAGCGAGCGTAATGATTATCGGTGACATGGACCACTTCAAACATTGGAATGAAATAAATGGAAAGGATGATGACAAGCAAAAACATGCAGGCCAAAAATGCTAAATAAATAAATGTAAATATATTGTACCTTGATCCAAACATTCGATATAAAATAAATGGAAAGAAGTACGACCACGAAAAACATGCATATGAAAAATGCTCTGCGATAATATAAAAATGAAAAAAAAAAATGTTTAAATAATTCAAGACAAGTGATTTCAAGCTCAATTACCGTTCAACTCGTGAAAAACCTAAATACAAATAAAAATTGATAAACATTTTAAATTTTATGGAAAATCTTTATTTGATTCGGACCATGCAATGTCGAATTATTCAAATATTCATTGAGATTGTCTCGGCAAGAGACACGCAGTGATTTCTTAATATCTCTCTCGATATTTTGGAATTTTGCGTCCAAATTATTCTTTGGGTTACTTAAAACACTAATTTGCGTTCCCGACGGTGATGACATTTTGAAAGTTAACTCGAACTTTTACAGCTTCTATACTATACTGCGACGTTAAATTCGGCGAACACGGCTTTTATACTATTCCAGTAGGACTAAAAATTACTTCTAATTACCGAATGTTTCTGTTTGCTGAATTAATATCCCTCAACACGCAAAGTAATGAATTTTTACTCTTAACACAAAGTTAATAAAAACAAATGGGCAATATCTCCATCTTTTTACTAACCTTAACATACAACCGCGCTTAAAAACAAGCGCCTGCTCTTATTCTGCGCTTATCCATATACTCTATGTTTAAAAAAAAGTAAGAGCATTGCTACTCAAAACTACACAAATATAGCATTTCTTTACGGAAACATTTAAACCTTATTCGGCGCCATCTAATCAAAAATATGAAATAAAAAAGAAAATCGCCACGAGAGCGGCAGAACTCTGACTATTTAAGCATTTTCTTTCGTTTTCCATCGCTACGATCCTTGGAGTATAAGTCTGGGCGTTTTCCCGCTTTTACCTACGTAAAAGTCCACTGAACCGAAAAATTATAATATGAAAAATACTGCAGCATGAAAACATTCTCGATCTAAAGAGATAATGAAAAATCTGGCTGAATCGCATTAAAATTGAATCTTTCACGTTTGCATGTGACTTATATCGCATGAGTGTTCCAAACCCCCTACCCTCTCAATTTTGTCAAGTTTTCAATTGACAAACACAATAATAACACAATAAATGTCAGTGCTTGAATAATGAATGAAAATGCCAGATTTCATTGTAAATATTTTTATTATAAAATTTCACCATTTTCAATTTGAATGCCGATTTCATTAATTTGATCGGTCGTACATTTTTCATAGGTATTGATAATTTCGTAGCATTTTTTTG